GTTCAGCAGTTAATTGGTCTTCAGCTCCAGAGATAATTGGCATGTGTGAAATCAAGGTCTGTCTGCCAGAAAACCTTTTATCACTGCATGATCTTTTACCTTTCACACGAACATAGCCTTTGTGCGACAAGGACCGGAATTTATGGCACAAATTTGCTTTCACCAATTACCTCACCCACTTAGGGACATTGAGTAAAATTTAATATATTCTTAAAGGACAATTAATGTTTAAAGGTATTTATGAAAATTTACTGAGCGTTGTTTCTGTGGAAGGCAATGAGCGGGCAGTTTGACTAGCAGATTTTTGTTCTGGTATGTAAAGGAACTTAAAATGGATGCAAATTACAACCTATGTTTTCAATTACCTTCTGTATATTAAGGGATGATTGAGCTATAATTCTGAGGTGTATGACAAATGTTTAAAGACACAATAGCAAACTCAAGACTGGAGCTGGATGATCAGGAATGAAACTCGATCTGACACTGTATTAGCTGTCCCTGCAAGGGGTTGAGATGAAATGTTAACCCTTTTAAATTAAATTCTTAAGTTAGTTGGAGCTGCACTAATTTCTTTATAAATATACATTTTCAAAGTTTTATCTAAAACCCACTTAAAATTCAGTTTAGTATACAAGATGAGGTGAAGCAGCCAATCCTCATGATAGAGTAGATTAGACTAATCAGTAATCAAACTAAATGGTTAATAGAGTATTTGTTGCTTTTTGCTTTTTAATGAAAATTACAGGTTAACTCAAAAAGTTGTGATCCTACAGCGAGAGTATACATGAACAAATACCTCATGAGGTTAGGTGATTAGCCAACCCTTTTGTTTTGTTCCCGTTTAAACACTTACTATGTCCTTTTCCTACCAGTTCAATGGGACATTGAACAGTTAGTGTAGGGGCAGAGGTTTAACTCAAGCAGCCCTAAACAGTTTAGAAATTATAGGCAGCAAATGTTTCTCTTTTTTTAAAGCCACTTGCCATAAATTTGACCTTTGTTTGAATTCTCTCAAACCGAAATGGATTAATTAATTTACACAGGTTTGTTTTTGCAGTTCAGTGTTGGCGTAAGTGCCCTCAGTTTACCTTTTTGATTTGTTGGACTGAGAAGATTTTGTCTTCATGTGTTTGCTACACAATTCATGCTGCCTATTATTCTCTTCACAGACACTGAATTTCAGATAAGAGTTTGACAAATTTCACATATAACCTTAATCTTACCGTCCTTTGTACGGTCGCCGCCTCCTTCCTCCTTCCTTCCTATTCTTCATGTCTTGCTCTCTCTTGCGAAGATTGGGTGATAGCAGCTATTGTTTTGCCGGGGGTCTTAGGTGGCCTTGTTTAAAGGCTGATGCAGCTCACCTACTAGGGAGGAGATACTTATTTCATCCATTTAAAGGCTAAAATGTTAGACATCATGAATCCAATTTTCTTTGCCTTTTCTCTCTGAAGGTGGGGATTAAAGCCAAGCTGTCAGCTGGCATGCCAGATCTTAAGACAACCCGCTGATGTCTGCGATACTGCGCTCAACTCAGCTCAGACAGTATCTAGAATCTCCCAGCTTTTAATTTGGCATTAGGCTCACTAAGCAAAATCACAAGCAGTTTCAATTAAATAGTTGACCAACTGCTTTGGGTTTTCATGAATCAACCTCTTCAAGGTTGGAAAAGGCCAATCATGATTGTTAAAAAAGAATTAGCGCAAAAATGTGCTTTGAAAATAACTGCCATTGACTTTTCTCATGTTAAAAGTGAGAGCAGCATTTTCTGTAGAGTTTTTGTTGTTGTTTGTTTTGTTTTTTGCCCTTTGGTCTAAGAATCTACCTTAAAAATGAATTTCTAACCACAATCAAAGAGTTTTCATTTGAAAGCATTCCGCTATATGGTTCACATGTATTGTGTCTTATAATGTTATGTGAACAGGACATTTTTTTAAAGATGAGATTTTACCATTTTTCATACCTCGTTATAAAAGCTAACTTGATTCTCTGAATCGTTGCTTTGTTGGTTTCCTGGTAAACCTTTTTCCTCAGTAATTTCATCTTCTTAAATATCGACCAGGTTTAAAACAAAAAAAAAAAGAAAAAAAGAAAAAGAAGCTGATCCTCATTACAGGACTCCCTGGTTTTAAAGTTCACTGAATTTAATTGGAGTTTTATAGGATAATACGAGGTAAAAAGCCCTTTTAACGGAGAGCCATTCCTCTAAGTCTCTCATAGGGAAGCTCCTCTCTCTCCAAAGTACGGCCTTGCTGTCTCTGGCGGCAGACTAATGGTAGCTTCTAGTGGGCTTATTTGGGTTTAATGTGGCATAATGAGGTTAGGTAATTGGGTTTAGGTCAAGTTGTAAAACAGGTTCACAGGAGACAGAGATGTGAAGATCATGTAAATGAGTGGTGTTAGATCGCTGAAGGCTCACACCAGTGAAAACTCCATGACTTCTCAAAGCATGTATTGTACAAGTACATGCTAATTCCACCTGTCCTCATTTGCAACTGGTTTGAAGTAACCTTAAGTCAGTTAGGAACGCCAACTGAGAAAACGCTCATACAAGTGCTAAGTAGTCTTGGGAGAAATGCCTCCACATTAATGCCATCTTTGTATCATTGTCACTCATTCCTGTCTTGATTTCCATCATCCTCTCCCTTCATTCTAAATATCAGATCATTATTATTTAACAGCAGGGAAGTTAATGAACATATTAATAAACACGACATCCCTTCAGCAATTTGGAGCCAATTATTAAAATTTGTTAAAAGGCATGACTAATTAAAGAGGATGTTTAAATGGGAATGAATTTTAATGCTTTTTTTCTCCCTTTCTATTACCTTTGTGGCAGGGTTAAGATGAGAGGATGCTGAGATTAGATATTCTCACACTAATTAAGACCACAGATCCCCTGGGAAGAGAATAAGGACCTGCTCATTGTCTCTCCACATCGCTCTAACTTTTTTTTCTCCCCCCGCCCTCCTCCATCTCTCCCTGGTAGCAATGGACCACCAGGCCCTGGAGGAGAGGCACAGCTGGGATTAAGATGAACCCATGATGGGATGCGATGTTCTTCCTTTATGTTTCCACTCCTTTCACTCTCGTCTCCCATGCATTGCTCTCCACGGAGACCAGGGACGACACATTAACCTTTGAGATTGTCAGGCCATGAGAGAAGAGTTTCTCACATTACGATTAACTTTGCTCCTTTAATTAAACACATGAACAAGACCTTGTGATGCCTCGAAATAGAGGAGCTATATTAGAATTTCAGAGAAATTACTGGGGACAATTCAGCTATTTTTTTTTCTTGCTGTAGCATTTCTGTCACAACTGCACATCACTTCGTAGAGGTCATCACTAACTTGGTAATGATTATGTCATTCAGTTAATAGACGGTCACAAAGAGAAAATGAAAAATGTTGTAGAATAAGGCATTCCACTCCAGATTCATTTTACTTTCTGTACGTTTTCCTTCTTATGCCAACCTTACACCTAACGACTTTTCAAGCGATTTCAATGCCGCAGATGAATTTCAAGTGAATTTCAAGAATAAAATCATGAGAGCCTTGCTACAGTCATTGTGTGCTCCTGTCATCTCAATCGTCTGGTGTAAGGTAGTTGTCCGAGCTGTTTTAAGTCTGTCTTTTCCTCGTCTTGACATTCCGATAAAGCCATGTTTATCATTATCATAATTCTTTAGTCTTGGTTCATGCAAACAGTGACATGAACATCGTAAACAACCAATAGGTGAGCTTTCTCCAACACCAAACAGGAAGCAGCATAGCGGGCACAGAAAGAGCGGTAAATATGGTGGAGACTCCGGTTAGGCCCTGGAGTGAGCTTGTCTCTTTGACATGTCATGCAATTTGTATCACGATAGAGAAAAGTTGGACAGACCTTGCTGTCCCCTTTCAGTCAACCAGGGTTGTAGCCACATTCTGCAGTGTCTTCTCTTTTTCTTTTTGGGTTTTTTTTTTTCCAAGCAAAACACTGCATATATAATGCAGCTGTAGCCAAACACATCTTTTGTTTCTATTCCATTTTTCCCACCAGGAGCATGATGGGAAGTAATCTCAAGAAAAATCTAGTTGCAGTCTTGAAAATAGTGACCCTGCAAGATCCCCAGTCTTTGCAAAATCCTAGTTTATGACTCAACTTTTTTGTATCTGAGAGCATGTCAGACTTTAGCCTTTTAAGTATTTTCCGGGTCTTAACATAGTTTTGTAGTGTGAGGCCAGCATCAGTTTTACTTAACAGTTAACAATGGTAGTAGGAGCATGTAACTTCGTGACTTGTAATTTCCTAAAATGTAGTAATTTTGCTTTGATGTTCTGTTACCGTACGTTATTATTGTTTCGCTCTGTGTAGAAAGCACCTGGTATGCGAGGTGTTTGTTTTTTTCAGTAAATGTAGAGTAGGAAATATAGGTTGCACTTCTCTTTGTGAATGGAGTTGTTTACAGGGTGAGATGGAGTTCAGCATGGTGCCATCAACAACAGGCGTCTGGAAGGCAAAATCAGGATTTATTGTCACGGAGGAGTAAAGCCCTCCACTGCTCAATGAGCTGAGTATAGTGTTCACTGTTTAAGTGCACCCTTTTATTCCTGCTAATATGTACATAATCCCCAATAAGACTGATCAAAGGGCTTATCTTTCACTGAAGCTATGGTTTAGATCTGGATGTCTTATTAAAAGGGCAAGAGGGCATGGCAAGAGGCTGTTTTTTTTTCTAGAATCGTATTTTTTTTTTCTGTTTGGGGAGTGATCTTGTGTTTTAGGAGCGTGGCACCACTGGGTATGCACACAAAACTCTCCTCCACCCTTCTCTTCCCCTCCTTCTTTTCTCTTCTATGCCTGTGAGTCACTTCCATGCACCATTTCAGGGGAAGGGGAGTTAAAATGCAAATAAACAAGATCTCTTTCCAGAGTTTATGTTCTCAAAGGGAAATAGATGAGGGGGCAGTGGGCAAAGGGGTTTGGGGGGTCTGCGGCCAGCAATTGAAAACTGTTGCCCTTACCCGGAGAGATCTGTGTACACTACTTGCAAAGTCAAACAAATAGATCCAGGCTGCAGGTTTATGTGTGTGTTTGCGCAACTGCCTGTAAACCTCCCAGCCTGTCATCTTCAATCACTGTTCTCTGTTACTGATTAGGCTCTCTCTCTCTCTCTTTCTCTCTCTCTGTCTCTCTCCACGAGTGTCTGTGTGCAATGGTGTTTGTATGTGTCTTTCTGTCATTGTTTGTCTATGTTCATATGTCTTTGTGTGTGTGTTTCCCACATGTGTGCCAGGCCTGGATCCAGAGAAGCACTTAGGAAAACCTCTGGCTGACATGGAGCCCTATCTGAAACAGGTCACAGACTGGTAGAATATCTGCCACCTTGTTAAACTTGTCGTTGCCATACTTTCATGCATTTCCCAGAAGTTCATGTTAACGTTTGTCCAAAGTCAGAAAACATCTTGAAGTGTTTAGTGTAAATTTGAAGCTTAATACTGTTTTCATTTCACTTTAGCTTTTAGTTTCAGAATGATTGTATTCTCAGTGCTCTGCTTATAATGATTTATTGTAAGAAAATGTTGCAGTCACATCAGTCTCATCCATGTATATTCATGCATAGTTAGTCGATTTTAGTATTTTTCTCTTAAAGCGTTGTCAGAAGTGTTTAGTAAACCTTAAATTGAACATGGATACACATTGGTGATCTAAAATATACTCATTTTAATTGAAATTTCAGGAAGAGAAAAGTGTCAAAGAAATAGTATGTTTAAATGAAATAAACTACATAAAGTCTTTAAATAAGGTATTTTATTTTCATTGATTAGCTCTCCCAGAAGTATGGAGTCCATATTTGTGGGGAAGGAGGTGAATATGAAACATTTACCCTTGATTGCCCGCTTTTCAAAAAGAAGATTGTTATGTGAGTACAGTATTATAAACTCAAGAGCCTTTTTAGCATGCGGCTGCAGTGAGTTTGAAAAGTGAAGTGTTTGCATGTATGTGTGTGCAGTGATGCAGCAGAGACGGTGATCCACTCAGCAGATGCCTTTGCTCCAGTTGGCTACCTGCGCTTCAGCGAGATGCACACTGTGAACAAACACAGCGTGAGTCCAACTTATGAAGGAATCCACAAGTATAACGCGTTTCACAAACAAGAGCAGTGCTGTACAATGCTAAATCAATAATTTTACAACAGAAGTTTCAGTTGCTGTGGGGTTGATTATTTTAAAACCACTCTGGGGGCAAAACAGATACAAGAACAAAACCCTTTGGGGTGTGATAACTTTGTTGAGGAGCAGAGGAACACAGCACTGCAGGGCAGGGTTCAGATCAGCCTCCAGAGGGCTACTCTCTCTCTCTCTCTCTCTCTCTCTCCTGCACTCTGTTGCTCTTGGTCTCTGCCTTCTTCCCTGGAACTCTCTCCTCTAGCCCCACATGGCCTACTTTGACATCTGCAATATTCACTGCAGCCTGAAACTAGACCCAGCTTAATAAACATGTCTGCTCACATTAAGGCCCTTTGCATTCAGGTAGCTGCTAAGCGGACACAGGCGGGAGTTGCGGGGAGGCAGTAGGAATTGGCATTTTGTACATTACAAGAAACTGAACGGGGCTTCACAGACCGGAAGAGTGACACTTCAAAACATTTTACTTTCCCTGCACGAACAGACAACTTCAGCATGATTGCCAAAAATACTATCATGACACTGACCTCATTTATGTGCACTTTTAATTGCTTTGTTCAAAGTGTGTGGTTTAATAAAACACGTACTTGTGTAGCTGATGCGTGTTCCTGATAACTTACCGTATGATGATGTGCTTGCTCTTTGCACATCACACAGTACATTTTATTTTGTATTTGTTTATCTGCAAGAGAATGTATGGTCTTGTTTGTTGCCTTGCTTGTGTGTATCTTAATGTTGGGTGGGGTGGGGCTGGGACATCGGTGACCCTGAAGCCTTGCTCCCCACAGCTATATATTTTTTTCACTCCCCACATCACCACTCCCAGAGCCCCCCAGGTTGCTGTGGGAAGAGCAGGAAGATCCAGGGTCTGCAAGGGTAAGGGAGGGAGGGAGGGAGGGTGAAACCAGGGGAGAGCCTGCCCTGGTTCAGCCTTCTGAAGCTCGTCTTGTCAGGGTGACAGATCTGCGGTGACACCAGCACTAGAGGAAACTGCACTGGGCTCAGGGGGTGGGGATGGACCACCATCATTTGCCCTCCGTTAATGCTAGTCAAGCTATTTTTCATGCTGGCCAGGAGAGAAGGGCTGAAGTATAATTAATTTGATTATCATATGGCCTAATGCAGTTGACAGCAGATGAGGGGGGTGAATGAGTTTGGGCAGGATGAGGGGGGCGTTGAGGAAATGTGTATTTAAATGCATGACGCCCCCTCAGGATTTGGCAGGTAATATGCGTCACGATTTGTTATTTAAAGAAGTAGAAGTATAAGTGAGCAGAACCACGAATATGTTAGCATGTTGTTTCATATTCATTCACCTTGAAGTTATGTCTGTCTGGGCCCTTGTCATGGAAGACTGACAGACACAGTCCACTTGGTGGGGTATATGAAGAGGTTGGCTAATTATACAGTGTTTTGTCTGTCTTTGCAAAAGGCTCAGCGCTCTTTGGTGGGCGTTTGGCCTGATGTATTCCCTGTGGTGCTTTATTACAGAATGTGGTAGTGAGTGCTTTGCCCCATGGTAGTTGTCCTTGCCAGAGAGCCATTGACAAGATGACTGAGGAGGTGGAATACGCTGATCAAGCTGAAGACAACCAGCAAGAATTTACATCAAATAGTGACCTTAGTTGTCAGCAAGGCCACGGTGAGATTCATTTATTGTGAGACATGCATGAGTATGTGTGTGTGTGTCACATATCTGTGTGTGGTGAATACTCCCTGAATCTGTGTCAAGCAACTAGCATCGTGACGCTGTGTTTTTTGACTGATTGTTTGACTTGAGCTGTCATTTCAGAAGTGTGTTTGTGACAATTTCTGAATTTGCTTTGTCTTTGACACAAACCACCTATGCACAAATACCCTCCCAAACAGCATACGCATGTCCTGGTTGTATTAAATTAAAGTCTTATTTTGTATATCCAAAAAAGCTTTGATCAAGCATTATAAACCTTGAAGTCATCATTTATAGTGCTGACTGCATAATGTACTTGTGCTCTCTTACGCAACACGTCATCGCATCTCTTCCTGCAGATCTCCCTCCATCCTGCTCACCTAGAAGCTCTAGAGGCTATCAGTGGATCTCTGCAATAAACGGCCTCCAGAGCCAAGACACCACGATCCAGGGCCAGACATCGGCAGCTTTCACACAGCTGCAAAGTAAGGGAAAGTGTGTGAGAGAGAAAGTGCAAGAGAGTGAGAGCACTTATGAAGGAACATGGTTTACCAGAAGTGTGGACATGCTTTTAAATATTTTTACACTCAGATAACCACAAGGGGTTTCTTTGCCTCTCTGAAATGATGGCACATAAACTAGCCTTTAATAAGTCATGTTTTCTTTGATCACATAACAGTTACATCTCTGATTTTATTAAGGGGAGATGTTACAGGATTCCTTATTCCAGGGGTGATTTAAGCAGCTTAAAAAAAAAAAAAAAAATTCTACAGGGCATGTTGTACTACTCGCTTTACTTTGGCCTTAAAAAACTACTGGGGAGAATATAGGGGGAAAACTCCTTTATCCCTTGGGTGTCTCTCTTTTTCTTTGCTATGTTAGCTGCACTCACATGAGGAGGTGTGGCAGTGCTTAAGAAGTCGGTCCTTATTCAAAAGTGCTTGCCAACATGCAAAGCCTTGTCAGTCACAAGAGTGGGATAGCGGGTTGGCCACCAAACGACAACAAGCATTTTAAATTAACCCAAACCAGGCCCTTTTTTTTTTAAACATACAAGCAGTGCGCTCATGTTGGGCGGGTTTTCATTTCTGCCCTGCAGAAGTTTATAAAGTGTGTGCTTTTACACTGTATCTCAGTCTTTTTTCTCTCTTTCTCTTTTTTTTGATGGTGAAAGAAGAAGATGAAAAGCATATTTAATGTTTATCGTGGCGCTCGGCTGAACAGCCTTCACAGTGCAGAGACAATATTAAACAAGTTAATATTTAATGAACACCCTCTTTGTATGAGGGCGAAGTAGTCGGAGACACTAGTGTTGGTAAAGGAAAAACAAACTTGAAGCTCTTTCATATGATTGTAGGGAGAACAGCTTTGCTTTGAGCCATTGTGCCTGCGTTTGCATCCAGAGCCTAAGATGTGCACACAAATGGTGTTAGATGGCACTTTATAGAATGGGGAAAAATGCCATTACCACTTTAAAGCAGTTTTGATGGATTTCATTGTCAGAAAAAAAGAACAATGAACTACCTACCTTTTAACTACAATGGTGATAGCGTTCGAATGACAGTTTGAACTGATTGGCTGTATTTGTAGGTTTAGCACGTGTAAGCTGTTTAATCCTGGCAGTAGAAACTAAACTGAGATAACATGGTCCCAAAGCTTTGCCTTCACATTTTTATACACTGATTTAGACACCAGGAGTATTTGTTCAATGGCAGCCTTGTAAGTTGCAATGTGAATAGTCAAAATAACAATTTAAACATATAGTTTTATTATGATAAACCACTGAGTCTCATGAAATTGCTGAGTTACAAGTAAATATGTACTGGGGCACATTTTTGTCACAAACCTACAATTTTGCCCATGTAAACACCAAATTTGTAATGTGCTGCCACAATTACTTATACCAAATATGGATAGGTTTGCAAAGCTAAGGTTAAGTGAAGCTATGGTAGATAATGTTATGTTTATTTACTTTACAGTATTTTACACTGCATTCAGTTATAATGTGTTGCCTGTGTCAAGGTGTGTTGGATAGCAGAGGCTGGACGATGAAGGACATTGTCCTGGTTCACCTGTATGTGAGGAACATGGAAGACTTTGGTCCACTCAGCACAGTTTATAAGACACACTTTGGCATAAACCCTCCAGCCAGGTAAAAGTGTGAACACACACAGATGTTGCTCTGTGTCTGTTGTTTCTCTTTTTATGGAAAAGCTAACTCAATTTGCTTCTCAGCTGAATTTGTATTCTCATTTTACAGCATTCATTCCTCATTTCTACTTTTTTTTTTATTGTAGGGTGTGTGTCCAGGCTTCTCTACCTGCTGGTCATCTGCTGCTGATGGATTGTTTGCTCCATGACTGGACCGAGCCCCTGGAGAAAGGCTGCTTTCGCCAGAGAGAGGCCCTGCATGTCCAAAGCCTGTCCCACTGGGCTCCAGCCAACATTGGACCTTACAGCCAGGCCTTCAGGGTAAGACTCTAAGGTGCACAACAAGGAGAGGTGGTGGGTACAGTGCTGATGGCTTGAATTTGGTTCCACCCAAAATACAAGTATATACTTAAATAAGCCTTGTGTTTCATATAGTGCTGTAAAAAATGGTAACTTCCATATCAGTTAATGGATCCACATTAGAGTATATATGGTCTATAAATGATGATGATACATGTCCATGACAAGTTGCCTAATGTCATGTCTTCATATTGCTTATTTTGTCTGTCAAATGCTGAAAAGAACCCAAGGAATATTTACTGTATGATTTTTAAAAAGGAAAACCATCCCTTTTGAGAAGACTTGAGAAATGTTTCCATCCAAATTTTAGCCATTATTTACTTGTAGAAACATGGGGGTTCCTTGATATACTAGTGGTTGGGGCGCAGCGCTCTCTCCCCTCTGGTCTGGGTTTGAGTCAGAAAGGGCATCCGGCATAAAACATGTGCCAAATGTCAACATGCGATTCGCTGTGGCGACCCTTAACGGGAAAAAGCCAGAGGTGACATTCATTTACTTGTAGAAAGATATTCTTCATGGGACACCCTGTACTTTCTTTAGTTTAATACAGTTTTATCAGTTTTATTTATTCATGTGCTGTTAGAAACCTGCGCTCCACATTTCCTGGTTTAGCTTTAGTTTGTGCAGTTTATTTTTAGCTTACTAAATACCAGTGACCATGAAACACCTTGCACTGAATCCCTTGATCGTTGTCTGGGGAGGACTGATTCAGAAACACTGAACATTGTTTTCTGTTAGCTAAGCAATCCAGAGTGTCACTTTTGGGAAGTGAGTAATGGATTAATGAAGGAATACCAGGGATTAATTTGATGAATGATGGATATCACTGGTGATCGTTATGATGCTTTGTTGTTCTTTGGCTCTGAAGTATTTCAGATTCCGCTCAGTACTTTGTGTGCATCTCTGTTGTCTCTGTTTATGTATCGATGCATGCACACAGATGCATGTGATTACTGTTTTGTGTGGTAGTTTGTTGTGCTCATCGCATCCCCGTTATAGTAGGAAGTATGTATCCATTTTGCACTAGTTTGTAAAGCTATAAATCAAACTGCTTTCATATTGTTTCAAAACAAGAAGGAATGTTGAATTCAAAGGCCGAGAAAAGGAAGTGTGGGCCGTGGTTGCACGGTTGGCTTGGTGTTTTGTTTACCCAGTGTGTATTATATGGGATTACACTTGTCAAGGTACTGTCAACAAGGATAGTGTCCATCTCCTCCACGCTGTCCTTGATCCTGCAACCAAATCCGTCTATGAGTGAGAACATGTGTGGATTAGCCATTCATTTTGAGCTTGACAGCATGTCTGACGAGTGTGTCACCGAAGCTCAGAGGATCTTGTGCAGTTTGGAATCCTGAGATGTAACCTACCCTGTCAGGTTTGCTTTTAACATGCCAGTAGTATTTGAGTTCCTCAGCAGAGTCTCATTGAGACATGAAATTGTAGTCAGCTGCGTGCATGTGCTGTTGCCTCTGGAAAACACTCTAATCTTTCATTTCTCTAATAATCATTCACATCCAAAGCAATCTGAGAAAACAATGAGAGGAGTTTGCTTCCTCAGAGCTGTGAGCGGCACTTCATATGACCCCTGCGTCGTCTCTGTGTCTGCTCCTCCTCCACGCTACAACGACTTAATTTGATCAAAAATGTATTAACAACTCTTCACTACAGCTAGAGATTTTTACATATTGATACAATTACCCCCTTGCTGTGAGCAAGCATGCACTGCCACCCCTCCTCTCAGCAGTGCCACGGTGCATCCATCTTAATGACAATTTTCCTTGGTGACTGTTGCCGTGTGACACCATGGCGACAGGACTCTGGTAACAACACAGACTGAAAAGCTACAGTTGGAGACCAAATAACCTTGAGCCCTCCTCATTCACTGTCTGTGGAAAAGAATTGGTAATTAAACGAAGACTCCAGCTTCACTGGGGAGTTTGGGGGGATGAATTCGTGATCTTAATTGTGGCCCGATAATATAATCATTTTTGCAGCAGAAGTGTTGTAGTGATATGTTTTTTTTCACAACTTGTGATTTTAATGGAGTTAAAAAAATTGAAGTTCCGGTTAATTGTTTACTTTTTTATTTGTTAAATTGATGTTAACCATGTGAATGTGGTGTAGTCAAACAGGGCAATAAACTGACCAGTGTCCCACTTTATTAGGACCAGTGCATTCACATTTTGACAAATGCCAAGTGGTTTGAGGCATAGCACATGAACAGAATGTGGTACTCTGGCCCTGCGTGATTTGACCACAGTAGGTCTCCACAGTGAAGGGCGGTGCTGCTGGAAGTAGAGAGGAACAGCATTAGGGATTGGCATGTGATAGTTCCTGGACCTTCAAACTCCATCAATTCTCTCTCCATCTGTATACTTGGCTTATTATGTCTCTCAGCTTCAGCTCTGAGGAATGGCAAGCTGACTGACTGTCAACTTGGCTGATAGAATTGGATCTGACTTGGTTTAAAGAATTAGTTAATCTTTATGATGCCAAAGCTGGGGGCCTCTTCGTGTCTTGTATGTGAATGTATGATATGGTGAAAGTTTAGGTAAAAGCCACAAGGAATAAATACAAGAGCGATTTATTTTATGCTTTGTTTGTATGTCGTTTCATATTGTTCTGTATCTGAGGTTGCGTTCACCGCAATATGTATTATTTTTAGCGTAATGTGTTATTTTCGAGTGTAGTTCTTGCCACTAATTGTTTTGTTTTGCAGTCTTGTTTATCAAAGATCTAATGCAAATTTAGCTGTCATTTGCTTTAGACACAATTTGAATAATCTAATTAAGATATAAGAAATGTTTTTCTTTTATTACATCATTGAATTCAATAACAATAAAAGATGCTCTTAGACATTCAGTTTTTACTGCAAAATATCAAAACAAATTTTCTCATTAGAACAAAAGCCAAGTAATGGCATGCTTTTAAAAGAAATAAAAGTTATTACTGCATTTTCTGTCTGTTGTTTCTTAGGAGCTTTTAAACAATTCTGTTGCATTAGCATAATAGAAGGGGGGAAAAGCACGGGCCTTTTTCTTTAGGCAGCAATGTTACACGTTTTTATATCGAAATCCATTTGTACCAATAAAAGCGATTATGCTTATGAGTTGTCAGATGGAAAAAAATGGACCTATCATTTACTGAAGTCAGAGTTAACAACTGGAATCTCAAACTGCCGGATTTTTCCACATCTGTTTAAATTAACACTGCCTGTTCCGTCACATTCCCTTTGGAGCCGCGTTTACAGAGGCAAGCACAATAGCCAAACTAGATCTGAATAGAAAGACTATCAGTTGAATGGTTGTTAAACATCTCCTCTTTCCTGTTAAGGTAAGTGGCATGCCCCTGGGATATTTGCTTGGAAATTATGCTCACTGATCAGATTCCGCAGGGTGTGTTTGGGGAACTGACTGCGCTAGCCTCAGGTTGCTGGTGTACACTAACCCCTCACCTCATTCCCCTAATTGTGAGTGACAGTCAATATTATGAAGGACCGCCTTGCACAAGCCCACGATAGGATTTGCATTGGATTTTTAAAATTGTCAAAGTGGACTGTGATTCATCAGGAGGGAAGTGGATCTGACGTTGACAATTAGCGTCAAAGGGAGGAGTGTAGTGAGGCGGGTAGGAGAATTTGAATAATCTTCTTACAGGAGTCTAAATGCCAAAAACAATAAGCTGGATCTATTTATAAAGGTTTCAGAGGTCAGGCCGAGTCATAGCGAGGTTAGGCCACCCATGTAGGGCCGAAAAGAGCGATGTTTCCTCTGCTCATTTGAATACATTTTTTGATTGTTTTATTTCAGCCAACAAGGTGTATAAAAAAAAAAAAAAAATTAGTGATGAATAGCAGAAATTAAGCTAAGTGCTTTAGTTTTATGGTTTGTTGTTCTCACCCAGGATATTTCACTACTGTAAAAGAGCCAACAGTATACGCAATTCAGCACCCCCCCCCAAACTACATCAAACATTCACACCTCCCCAACCTTCCTACATCTAGAGAATACATCTACCTCAATTATCACAGAAGAGTAATTAGCCAAAAAACGATGTGTGTGTGTGTGCATCTGCGTTCAGGGAGGTATTCATGCAGCACAAACAGATTAATTAGGACATTTAACTTCGCTTCTAATATAACAAAATTAATCCCATAAAATAAGAGGGATCTCGGAGGAGGTGCCTGTCAGCATCTGACGCCTCTCCCCTGTTTGCCATAATATATTAAAACCTTGCTTTTATCTCACCTCTACCCTGTCATACTTTATGGATTTTTTCATAAACACAGCCCATACTTCATAAATGTCTCAATTTTCTAGTCGATTAACATTACTTCAAAAGCGCTTGATAAAAGAGGAGGGCATGCGTGAAATAACGCACCGATAATATGAAACGCTGGAGGCTAGAACAGTAGGGGTGGCTCTCTAGTGTGCACACTCAGACAATGCAAGGGATGTTATCAACTTTAATAAAAGAACAAATGATCACTTCCAACGAAGGGGATGAGGCAGGGAGGAAGGGGTGGGGCCGGGAGAGGAACAGTTGTCGAGTAATTGAGTCGATGAAATATGAGGTCTTGAAGACTCAGCAGTTTGAGCAGTTGTGAGACTGAAGGCTACTTACAGTGTTCTTCATCACGTGTAGTTACTTGTTTGTCGTCGCACAGGAGAATGTTATCATGCATTTGTTCTTTTCTTTTCACTTGGTTGAAGGCATAGCTAGAATAGGCTGGCTATTTCCTGAAAGTCTGAATTGTGCACAGTGAATTGAATCTTTTGTCTGGAGGGAGCCAGAAAGGTTTTGACTGACAGTCGAGCTTCACCTTAGAGCCTTCCCCCAGCGAGTGCTGATTTAGTTCCTGTCTCTGTAGGCTTTACTCATCCTACTCAAACACTGGGTCAACTGTCTTCACTTGAACCGGACACAGACGAAACACACTGATCAAACCCAGTAAGACCTTA